AATTAGAAGCTGTTATCAAAAACCTCCCTACCAAAAAAAGCCCAGGACCAGAGGGTTTCAATGCAGAATTCTACCAGAACTTCCAAGAAGACCTAATACCTATACTCCTTAATGTATTCCACAATATAGAAACAGAAGGGTCAATACCAAATTCCTTTTATGAAGCCACAATTACTCTGATACCAAAACCACTCAAAGACTCAACCAGGAAAGAGAACTACAGGCCAATCTCACTCATGAATATCGACGCAAAAATCCTCAACAAAATACTGGCAAATCGAATCCAAGAACACATCCGAAAAATTATCCATTATGATCAAGTAGGCTTCATTCCTGAGATGCAGGGCTGGTTCAACATACGAAAATCTATCAATGTAATCCAGCATATAAATAAACTGAAAGAAAAAAACCATATGATCATTTCATTAGATGCTGAAAAAGCATTTGACAAAATTCAACATCCATTTATGTTAAAAGTCTTGGAGAGATTAGGGATACAAGGGTCATACCTAAATATAATAAAAGCTATATACAGCAAGCCGACAGCTAACATCAAATTAAAGGGAGAGAAACTCAAAGCCATCCCACTTAACTCAGGAACACGACAAGTCTGTCCACTCTCGCCATACCTCTTCAATATAGTGCTTGAAGTTCTAGCAATAGCAATAAGACAACATAATGGAATCAAGGGGATTCGAATTGGAAAGGAAGAAGTTAAACTTTCGTTATTTGCAGATGATATGATAGTGTACATAAGCGACCCCCAAAACTCCACCAAAGAACTTTTACAGCTGATAAACAGCTTTAGTAATGTGGCAGGATACAAGATCAACTCCAAAAAATCAGTCGCCCTCTTATACACAAAGGATATGGAAGCAGAGAGGGAAATCAGAGAAGCTTCACCATTCACAATAGCCAAAAACAGCATAAAATATCTTGGGGTACATCTAACCAAGGAAGTGAAAGATCTATTTGACAAGAACTTTAAGGCATTGAAGAAAGAAATTGAAGAGGATACCAAAAAATGGATGGACCTCCCTTGCTCTTGGATTGGGAGGATCAACATAGTAAAAATGGCAATTCTACCAAAGGCAATTTATAGATTCAATGCAATCCCCATCAAGATCCCATCAAAATTCTTCACAGATCTGGAGAAGACAATAATCAACTTTATATGGAAAAACAAAAAAACCCAGGATAGCCAAAACAATCCTATACAATAAAGGATCTTCTGGAGGCATTACCATCCCTGACTTCAAACTCTATTACAGAGCTACAGTAATGAAAACAGTGTGGTACTGGCATAAAAACAGAGAAGTCGACCAATGGAATCGTATAGAAGACCCGGATTTTATCCCACAAACCTATGAACACCTCATTTTCGATAAAGGAGCTAAAAGCATACAATGGAAGAAAGAAAGCATCTTCAACAAATGGTGCTGGCACAACTGGATGTCAACCTGTAGAAGAATGAAAATAGACCCATATCTCTCACCGTGCACAAAACTCAAGTCCAAATGGATTAAAGACCTCAATATCAGTCCGAACACACTGAACCTGATAGAAGAGAAAGTGGGAAATACCCTACAACAGATGGGCACAGGAGATCGCTTCCTATGTATAACCCCAGAAGCACAGACATTAAGGGCAACATTGAATAAATGGGACCTACTTAAACTGAGAAGCTTCTGTAAAGCAAAGGACATGGTCACTAAGACACAAAGGCAACCTACTGACTGGGAGAAGATCTTCACCAACCCCGCAACAGACAAAGGTCTGATCTCCAAAATATATAGAGAACTCAAGAAACTAGACTTTAAAATGCTAATTAACCCAATTAAAAAATGGGGCACTGAACTGAACAGAGAATTCTCAACAGAAGAAGTTCAAATGGCCAAAAGACACTTACGGTCATGCTCAACTTCCTTAGCAATCAGGGAAATGCAAATCAAAACAACTTTGAGATATCATCTTACACCTGTCAGAATGGCTAAAGTCAAAAACACCAAGGATAACCTTTGCTGGAGAGGCTGTGGAGGAACGGGTACCCTCATCCATTGCTGGTGGGAATGCAATCTTGTGCAACCACTGTGGAAGTCAGTGTTTCGGTTTCTCAGGAAATTCGGGATCAACTTACCCCTGGACCCAGCAATACCACTCTTGGGAATATACCCAAGAGATGCTCTATCAAATGACAAAAGCATTTGTTCAACTATGTTCATAGCAGTATTATTTGTAATAGCCAGAACCTGGAAACAACCTAGATGCCCTTCAATGGAAGAATGGATGAAGAAAGTATGGAATATATACACGCTAGAGTACTACGCTGCAGTAAAAAACAATGACTTCTCGAATTTTGCATGCAAATGGATGGAAATAGAAAACACTATCCTGAGTGAGGTGTCCCAGACCCAAAAAGATGAATATGGGATGTACTCACTCATAATTGGTTTCTAGCCATAAATAAGGACCACGGAGTCTACAATAGGTGAACCTAAAGAAGCTAAGTAAGAAGGTGAACCCAAGGAAAAACATATAGTTATCCTCTTGGCTAAGGGAAGTAGACCAAATTTCCGGGGAGAAAATGGGATCTTGGGGGTGGGGTGGGATGGGGGTAAGGGGAGATGGGGAGAGAAAAGGTAGAAGGGAAGGAGGGGGGACCTGGGGAAATAGAATTGGGATAAAGGAAAGGTGGATAGGGGAGCACGGAACCACAATTCTTAGTTAAGGGAGCCACTTTAGGGTGGGCAAGAGACTTGACCCTAGAGGGGCTCCCTAGTGCCCAAGATGAGGTTCCCAGTTAGTTCCTTGGGCAGCTGAGGATTGGGAACCTGAAATGACCCTATCCTAGAGCAATACTGACGAATATCTTGCATATCATCATAGAATCTTCATCTGGTGATGGATAGAGATAGAGACAGAGACCCACACAGGAGCACTGGACTGAGCTCCCAAGGTCCCAAGGAGGAGCAGAAGGAGGGAGAACATGAGCAAAGAATTCGGGACCACGAGGCGTGCATCCACCCACTGAGACAGTGGAGCTGATCTACGGGGAGCTCACCAAGGCCAGCTGGACTGTGACCGAAAAAGCATGGGATAAAACCGGACTCTCTGAACATGGCGAACAATGAGGCCTGATGAGACGCCAAGGACAATGGCAGGGGGTTTTGATCCTACTTAATGTGCTGGCTTTGTGGGAGCCTAGCCAGTTTGGATGTTCACCTTCCTAGATATGGACGGAGTGGGGAGGACCTAGGACTTAACACAGGGCAGGGAACCCGGACTGCTCTGTGGACTGGAGAGGGAGGGGGAGAGGAGTGGGGGGAGGGGGAGAAGGGTGGGAGGAGGGGGAGAAGGGTGGGAGGAGGGGGAGAAGGGTGAGAGGAGGGGAAGGGAAATGGGAGGCTGGGAGGAGGTGGAAACTTGTTTTTTGTTTATGTTTTTTTTTCTTCTTTTCGCAATAAAAAAAATTAATAAAAAAAGAAAAGTCATGAAATACAGAATCAAAAAAAAAAGAAAGAAAGAAAGAAAAGAAAAGAATAAGAAAAAAACCATTAAGTTCAAGTCTATCTTGACCAATACCTTGCCTTGGTTTCATATACAAAATACATAAGTAAATATCACCATTCTTGGGCTGGAGAGATTGCTCAGCAGTTAAGTGTATGACAGTTCTTCCTGAGGACCCAGATCCAATTCCCAGCACCCACATGGCAGCTTACAACCATCTACAGCTCCAATTTTAAGGGATACAATTTCTTCTTCTGGCTTCTGTGGACATTAGGCAAATACATACTACAAAAACATATGTACTTGCAAGCAAAACATTCATATACACATAAAATTTTAAAAACTTAAAAGCATTTAAATATTATAACCAATCTTATTTTCCATATGTAAATCAAGTGAGATAATAAGAGGAAAGTCAATTTTTTTTTGCAAGATTCTAAAGGGTTTAACTAAGGTTTCACTAACAGATTAATTTCTGCTCCATAAACTCAAGGCTTATGAGAGATTGAATGATCTGTCCCCAGAATCAGAGGAACCCAGAGGCTTCATTACCTCTTAGCAACTTTAAAACAAAACAGTAAGTTGACATAATACACTCATGGTTAAGGTGCCTAAAATTTTTGTGAATTCTCTAGGAAATGAACAAAATGTTGATTATTGTAGTGTTCAAGTGTAAGTGTGCAAGGTTAGCTCTTCTGTATATATGACTCAATTCTTTATTTCAATTATTATATTTAGACCAATTTTTCCAAGTCCCTCATACCCATCAGGGTATTTGATATGATAATCGAGTTAAGACAGTTTGACTGTCTAATGTAAAATAGCTTCATGTATACCCAATTTCATCTGTAATTCATAAAGCAATGATGTCTTATTAAATAAAAAGAAAATACTGTTTTCAAACATGTTCCACTTGAGACAGGATCTCAATTCTACAAGCCTAGGCTGCTGACTCTCCCTGCCTCTACCCCATGAGTGCTGAAATAAAAGGAAGCACTTGCATATCTAGCACAATGGTAGTTTTTAAAAGCAAATTCCATCCACTGAAAATGACTCCATTCAGAGCGAGAGAATAAAAGGAACTCCTTAGTTTTACACCAAGTCATACAAGGACTGCTTAAAGTAGAAACAGTATTAAAAAGTTAGTATTCATTCATTCATCTATCCATTTAATAAGTGTTTTGATAGTTTATTTATTTGCATTTTATTTACATTGGTGTTTTCCTGCATGTATGTCTGTGTGATGATGTCAAATGCCCTGGAAGAGCCATGTAGGTGCTGGGAACTGAGACCAGGTCCTCGGGAAGAGCCATCAGTGCTCTTAACTGCTGAGCCATCTCTCTAGCTCCTCAACAATAATCTCAAGTACCTATTTCATATGGGTTAATTATGTGTAACTGAAGAGGTTTTTCTTTTTTGTCTTTTGGTTTTCGTCTCTTTTTTTTGGTACAACACGAAAGAAATTGAAAGAAATGGCAAAAGAAGAGCCTAACCTGGATTCTGGTTATAAAAAGGCCCTCCATTCATCTGACTCTGAAGGCTCGCCTGTGAAGTTATGGAAGGAGGCCGTCTATAGGGCAATGAGCCCCCAATTGTTGGTGGCGTATGGCGAGAGGCAGGCCTATTCATGCTGTAGAACTGAACGGGATGACCTGGGAAAGGAACAGAACACAGACCCATCATTAAAAGAAGCTTCTATCAGATAATGAAATACTTTGAGCCAAGCAGACTAATATATTATAAATATATTTTATAAATAATTATTATTTATATTAGTCTGTTTTTTTAAGTAATTATTTAAGTAATCTAGTCTGCAGTATTCTGTTACAGCACACAAAACAGGTTTCCCTTCCTCTCCAAAAAATAAATGATTTAAAGCAGCCACTAAACACTGGAGACTAAACAAAAAATCACATTCTGGAAAAGAAAAAAGAAAAATGTTTGATACAATCTTACTCTAAAACAATGGTGGAGATAAGTTAGCAAAGAAAGTTGTTTAAAAGGAAAACAAAATATTTCAATGAAACACTTGATGCTGTAACTCCAAGTCAAGCCCATCTTCACACAACACAAAATATTCATTTTCCTAAAGCTAGAGCATATCCTAAAATTTGTTTATGAAATCTAAATCAAAATTTGCATCATCATCCCAGAAACCTACCCATGTTTAATACTCATTTGAACCTCTTGAAAGAATTATTCACTGCTAATATCAACTGGAAATATCCTTTCCTAATCCATCCAGTTTTCTAATAATGCAAACCCCAAATTTTACCTTGCCTTTGCCCTCACTTGCTCTCCACTAAGCAAGGCCCTCATCAACAGAGCATTAGAAGGAACCCATGAAGGAACACAGTCGAGCAGGCACCAAGGCATGGAAAAGAGAAAGGGATAACAGGAAGACAGAGGAGGGAGGACATGCTATATGATGAGGGAAAAAGGAGAAAAGGTGGAAGAAGAAGAAATAAAGGTAGAAAGAAAAGCACTGCCATTTTACTAATACTTGGCAAAGATCGTCACACACAAAAAATACACCACCATATGAATTTTTATGACGTTGGATCCAGTCTAAAATTTCATCTGTCTTAAGTCTACTCAGCAGCTCAGTGCCGTGCTCCATTAACTACAGATGCAGAGGATCTAACGTCTTCTGATGTCCTTTGGTACTAGGCAGGCATGTGGTGTACATATATATATTCTGGTCAAACATTCATCCACATAAAAATAAATATAAAAAACAAACAATATTTTTTTTTGTTTTTAAAGACAAGGTTTCTCTGTTTAGCCCTGGCTGTCTCTCTGTAGACCAGGCTGGCTTCAAACTCAGAGAACCACTGGCCTCTGCCTCCACAGTGCTAGGATTAAAGGCGTGCATGACCACCCTCACAGACTTTAAAAAAAAAAAAAACAATTTCAAAGACATCTATTTATATCAACTAAAGTTAGGATTTTTGGCACCCCACCCCCAAAAAAGCACAATGAAAGGATACCCAGCCTCAGCATTCACTAGAGATATGCAAATTAAAACTGCATGGAAAAACCACTGAAGTTTAAACAAAAAATGTACAGTTACTTGGGAAACAACTTGGTAGTTTCTTTAAAAGTTAAATATTCCAAGCATGTGGTACATGTCTTTGATCCCACCATTGAGAGGCAGAGGCAAGCAGACATCTGAGTTCCAGGCCAGTTAGGGTTACACAGTGAGACCCTATCTCAAAAATAAAATAAATAGATTGCACATTCCCTTTATAATACAACCTAACAATTCTATTCCCTAGGTATTAACCAAGATGACATGACCTAAACTCACCAGAAACCTGTACATGAATGTTTGTGGCAGCGTTATTCATAATCCCTCAAAATAAAAACTATCCAAATGTCCTTCAACTTGGAAAGGCACATATTTTAACACATCAAGAGCACTAACAACAGTAAGAAGGAACATAAAACACCTCAGCAGAGCTCCTAGTCATAACACCAAACAACCTACATACTGTCCACGACGTCCATTCTAAAGCACAGGTCAGCAGTGAGCAGGGTAAGGGTGAAACACAAAAAAGGCATGAGGTCATTTTGGGTGTGGGTGATGCAACTATTCTAGATCCTACTTGTGGTGGCAGGATACGCTTAAAAGAATTCACATATATTTATACTTTAAAAAGGCAAACTTTACACACTTTAAACCTTAGTAAAATAAAAATGTAAGGAATTTTTCTTTTTCTTGTAAATATAACTTTCTACTCATATAGTAAATGTTTACTTGTTGAAAACCGTGAATCACCCTTTTTGGAGTGACGGGAGCCTTCTATTGTGTAGTGCTGGCAGTCCCTAAACTCACTAGGCAGAGCGGCCTGGAACTCAAGAGTTCCACCTGCCTCTACCTCCTGCGTGGTGGGATTAAAGGCGTGTGCTACCACGCCTGGCCAAATACCTATCATTCCATTATAATTTAATTACTAAATTTTTTAGGTAGGGGTCATTTCTTCATCTACAGCATTAACAAGATTCCTTTATTTGACTAGTCCGACTAGTGTAGTAAGGGTTGCATATCCAATCACATTCTCACTCATCAATTACAGAAAACTCTTTTTCATAAAGAGAGAGGCTCTCTCAATTGAACACTGCCCAAAACCCAATTTGAACAAAGATGTCTTTTAAAACATGTTTTATTAGTAGCCAAGTAGTGGTGACACATGCTTTTAATCCCAGCACTCAGGAGGTAGAGGCAGGTGGTTATCTGAGTCTGGTCTACAGCCTGGTCTACAGAGGAAATTCCAGGACAGCCAAGGTTTACACAGAGAAACCCTGTCTTGGGGGGAAACAAAAAGAATCTACTTACTAACCAGCATCATATTAACTGCTCAGAGTATTCTGAGATAACTGAGTCTTTACCACCTATCCCAGCAAAACATACCTGAGGCTGAGATCTTTAAAAGAAGGAGTACATTTATTTATAAGGAGGATGCATTCATACCAGAGAGAGAATGCGCGTGCGTGCGTGCGTGCGTGCGTGCGTGTGTGTGCGCGCGCGCGCGCGCGCATGCAGATTAGAGAACAACTCACAGGATCTGGTTATCTCTCCACCACTAGAAATTCAAACTCTGGTTGTCAGGCTGGGCAGCAAACCCTTTCTTATCTAATGAGTCATCTCCCTAGCACTAGGTTAAAATCTTAAACAAAACACCAATCAACTTAAATAATCCTGAACTCCTTTAGAACCACAGTTAATAAGTTTCTGGTACTGCTAAAATATAAGCAAAAATCTCATTATAATATACAAAGAAGTTTGCAATTAGCTATAAAGAATATTACATTAAAATGAAACTTTTAATCGTCATAGGCTTGTTTTTGTTAATTACTTAACCTGCAATATTACTGGTGTGTGTACTGGTACAGGTGTTCTGTGCAGATCTATGTGCAGATAAACAGTTGAGTATGCCAGAGGCCGTCAACCTCATGTTTTCAATGTCTTTCTAACCCATTAGGACGGGCTGACTAGACAGCACTGGCTTCAGTTCCCAAACACTGGGATTCCAGACATACACCACCTTGCCTGGCTTTTTATGTCTGTCCTGGGGACAGAACTCAAGTCCTCACACTTGCACAGTAAGGACTTTACCAACTAAGCTAACGCCCCAGCTCCCTATAATAGTTCTAATGGCAAGTTTTCAAAACTGTATGGAAGTTAACTCCATACTAAATTCACAAATCAACTTTTAAAAAAAAGTAAAACCAAACCAACAAATACAGCAAAGCTGAAGTTTCAGGCAAGAATGGCCAGGTCTGTCTGCCATGCCAATACTCACCTGTGGGGGGATTGGAAGAAATAACAGGGGGAGTTGGAGAAGTGAAGCCATCAGCAAGGGTCTGTGCGCCCCCAGCAGCAACATCTGGGGCAGTGGAGGATGGGACAGGAGCAGGAACAAGAGGGGTAGGGACAGGTGCAGAAGTAGCAGGAAGAGGAGGGGTGACAGCAGAGCCAGCAGGGGCTGATGGGAAAGAGGAGTAAGAGGCAGCATTAATAAGGCAGTCATATTAGCATTAGAAAAAGCATTGGAATACTAAGAGTATTCAGCGCTTAACACTAGTCAAAAGAATAGAGCATTGCAAAAAGAATGGTTAAGGGTATTATATGAACAACAAATAATTCAAGATGCTCAGGTAGGATAGAAAAATGTTAGTTAAAAACAAACCTTTCTTTTTACCTAAAAGTAACTGACCTAGGAAAAAACTGCTTCCTACATACTGTTACTTTTAACATGACATGCCCCACATATATTAAACTACAGTACCTTAAAAAAGCAACAATATACAATTAGAATTACAACACAAATCAAAATATACACACATATTCCAGACAGTATCTTATTAGATAGAAAAAGAAAAAAAGAAAGCAAAACCTTAAAACATGCCCAAAACTTTTCATGACTTTTTAAAAAGGTACTGTTTATTTGCACTGTTATAATTAAATATGTTGTTTTGGTTTGAAAGACAGAATTCTCACTACTTAGTCTATTGACACCTAGATTCTCCTGCCTTAGCCTATGCATGCTATATTGCAGGCATGTACCACAACCTACTACAAGATATTCTATGTTGCTGGGTTTGGGGTTTGTTTTTGGTTTTCCAAGACAGGGTTTCCCTGTGGAGCCTGGCTGTCCTGGAACTCGCTCTGTAGCTCTGTAGACCAAGCTGGCCTCAAACTCGGATATCTATCTGACTCTGCCTCCTAACTACTGGACTAAAGGCATGCACCAACATACCCAGCTTATTTTGCTAGTGTTTTTTTTTTTTAAATAAAGATTTTTATTTACATGTGTAAGCCTAAAAAGCATTATGTGTGTCATCTGCATGTAGTCCAGAAACCAGAAGAGAGTGCTGGGTCACCTGGAGCTGAAGTCACCCAACATGGGTGCCGAAACCATACCTGGGTCCTTCTACAAGGGCAGCAAGGGCTCTTAAATGACTGTCTCTCTAGCCCCTATCTTGATGTTTTTGTGTTCATGCTTTTAAAACTAAATTCAAACTCTGTTTTCAAATAAAAAAAACTATATTTTTCTGTTTCAGGGAGAAGGGGGGAATAATTATTCAGAAACTACTGAATTACAATACTCCTTTAAATTTACATCTCTTGTCCTCTGTTACCAAAATGATTCTCAAACCACATCCTCATCATTTCCAAGGAAAGGTACTGGTGTAACCCTAACTGAAACTAAAGAAGTAACTCATACCATAATGAACATGAAACCCCAAAGCACCAACTGAACTAGCGCCAAAGACATAAAACAAAGTAACAATTAGACAGTCAACAATTAAGATCACTGGACAGAAATAACAGATGTGTGTAGACTTCCCAATACTTAAGGAATGCTAAGGAAATCTTTAAAATCTTTATTAGGAAGAAAACCCATCTGTAAGAGACTCTGGGTTCAAAAGCCAGCAACACACATAAACATGCACATATATACACAGAGAAGTGCACGTTCACACGTGCACAAAACCAAGAAAACTCACTGTAATACAATAACAAATTGAATTCAAATGCTTCACCTGGAAAGACGCTGGGAGGAGAGGGAGTGGGAACAGCAATAGGAACCCCCACACTCCCACTTCCACTGTTCTCCCGACTGCTGCTCCGACTACTTGGGTGGCTTCCTCCACTGCTCCCACTGCTGCTGAAGAAATAAGAGCCACCAAAGTATGAATATAGAGAACAAGGTATCACATTCCCAAGTATGTCTGAAATGGATATAGCTACAAGAAATAAAATCCAAAAAGTTTCCATTTCAAATATAAATTCTTAATAAACCATAAGGGCAAAATCTGAGTTCAGTAAATTTGTTTTGCTACCTATTTATGAGGGCTATCTTATACACTTTCTTAAAGAAGTCCTCTATAAATGTAAGGGCAAACTGTTCGTGCTTAATATATTAAAATAATAAATATTACCTTTTATATCCTGACTTAATATCTATCTGAATAAACTTACAGTAAGATTAACTAGATTATTTTATTTCAGTTTGTAAAGGCATGGTGATATATTAATATTTTAGTATGAGTTGTTTCTCATCTTTAAATTTCTACCAAAAAATAACTTGCAATTTTCATTCCTGGTTAATAATGTTTTTTGAATGAACGTGAGTTGTCTCTTTTGTTGTTAAGTTTATACTTTGAGATGTCGTTCTCACCTTCCTGACTGCTCAAGGTTGCCTCAGAGCATGAGGGGAGAGAGAGGAAGAATCAGATGAGGTTTGGGAGAGCAGAGAAAAAGAACTTAGTGCTTGGAAAATGAGAGAGCTTTACTGAAGTTATCTGAACAGATTTATGGTACTCTGACCATCATGTTTTGCGCTGAGGTAGAGAAAATACCTGTAAGTTCGATTTCTTTGATTCACAGAAGCTGTCCTCACAGGGCTCTGCTGCGAGGGAGCCATATTACGGGTTGGGCTAGGTACGTAATCATTGGGTACCACTGGAGGACGCACTGGCTCCAGTGTGCGATAGGGGGAGTGCCGCCTACAAAAAGAAGAGCGTATGTATTCTGTGATTAATCAAGTTTCGGCACGATAAATTCAGAGTTGCCAGTGCAATACAATTTGTAAGCAGAAATCGGAAATGTGGTTTAACCTAGCTATCAATTTGTCTTTCCTGCAGTACAACTCTTCCTCCATGAGAGAGCTCTGGTGAATATGTAGTGTAAATCTCAGTCTCCAACCTCATTTCCCTATGCTAATGTAATTTTGTTCATTTATTCACAGAAAACTCAAGTTTTCCATTGTTTAAGCCAATGTTTTCTGGACGCCACTCTTCTCTTAGAAGAATTTGCGTATTTTCGAATCGTGTCAGAATCTCCCAAAGGCACTCGCTAACTTATCTTCTTCTCCTCTCTCTCCCTAGCCAAAGATGTTTAAAAATACAGATGACAAATCTAAATTTTTGGAGTCACAACCTCCACATGGTGACCAATACCAGCCTTAACTCATTCCCCTTTTTATACTATAAACACATGGAAACTAAAGCATATTGATAATTAAAAATACACCACTTCATTTCATTTTCCAATTTTACAAACTTTTGCCCTCAAGTTCACCTTAATTTCTTTGCTGATTCCTCCTCAGAGTTCAACACTGATAGGAAATTTTAAAAGACTACCTAAGTTTTTCTATATCTTAGTTACTTTAACTGTAAAACACAAACTAGACAAAGTTACTAAGAAATCGTTTCCCTTCTCTCAAATTTTCCCTCCAAAAAAAGGACTTGACAGAAGCAGAAAGGAAACAAATGGGTGTGAAGTACTGCCCGGGGCAAAACTTAGCTCGCCTTCAGTTCTTGCTTCCAAGTGACCAAATCCTTCGGGGACAAGGACATCTTGCAGTTGAGATTAAGTCTTTAAAAGAATTTGGCTCAGAGGTTAAGAGCATTGCCTGCTCTTCTAAAGGTTCTGAGTTCAATTCCCAGCAACCACATGGGAATTGTAACCATTTGTAATGGGGTCTGGTTCCCTCTTCTGCCCTGAAGGCATACACATAGACAGAATATTGTATACATAATAAATAAATAAATATTTGCCGGGCGATGGTGGCGCATGCCTTTAATCCCAGCACTAGGGAGGCAGAGGCAGGCGGATCTCTGTGAGTTCGAGACCAGCCTGGTCTACAGAGCTAGTTCCAGGACAGGCTCCAAAGCCACAGAGAAACCCTGTCTCGAAAAACCAAAAAAAAAAAAAAAGAATTTGGCACCGGAAAGTATGAAAATTAAAGGCTTTCTTCCCTTCCAAGAGGGCGCTGCTCAACCTGCTCTTGCATTTCTCATTAATTCACCCCCAACCAGGTTCCTGCAGTTTCTTTAAGCATTTCTTTCCCAGCCACTCAAGTTATGGCTCACTGACTTTGAATGAAGTTTTTTTTTTTCTTCCCTCCTTTCTTCCTTGTTTTTGTTTGTTTTTGCTTTTTTTTTCCTTCCAGTTCTTTGATTTTTCCAGTCAGGGTTTCTCTGTATAGCCCTGACTGTCCTAGAACTCACTTCTCAAACTCACAGAGATTTACTTGCCTCTGCCTCCTGAGTGCTGGTATTAAAGGCAGGTGCCACCACCACTGAAATGAAATTATATTTCAAAGGCACTGTTGACTCTACTTCCCTCAGGTATTTTTCAATAAACAAAATAATTAATAATTCAAAATAAATAAAAGTATATATGTTATTGTGTCGAAAGGAAGCAATGCTACAACTCTGAATTGAAATTATTTTTTAAAAATTCAAGCATCTTTAAAATTAGAATGTATATATAAATTTATATAATTATATTAGATAATTAATCTCTAAAGTCTACTTTTGATAATGTTTTCTATACACTAAAATGTTTCATTCTATCTTCACTAACTTCAAGTTATACAGAAAAACAATGACACAAACAAGGTTAAAAAAGTAAAACAAAGCCGGGCGATGGTGGCGCACACCTTTAATCCCAGCACTCGGGAGGCAGAGGCAGGCGGATCTCTGTGAGTTCGAGACCAACCTGGTCTAAAGAGCAAGTTCCAGGACAGGCTCCAAAGCCACAGAGAAACCCTGTCTCGAAAAACCAAAATAAATAAATAAATAAATAAAACAAAGTAAGCAGGAAGAAGAGGAAAAATATAGTGATTAGGCAAAGACTAAAGAAAACAGGCCAAGATCGTCAAATGGACAAATGGAACTTAGCCACTCTGATCTCCACAGAGCAACTGAACGCCAGCTAATACCCAAGAAAACACATCCCTGGTACATTAAGTATGAGTTCAAAATCTGAGTGTAGAAGAGATTTTAATTTTACTAGAGACTTGATAACAACATTAACTTAAACATTTACAAATTCCATTAAGTAGTACACCCGAAGAAATAAATATGCATTTGTTTACAAGAAAACATAGCAAACACTTTCTCTGCAACCATCACACCCTACAATGTCATTTTCATTCTACCTGGAAGTTAAATCTTATTTGACCTACTAGATTCTTTCCTCTGCATTCTAAGAACAAAAAGATCATTCTAGATAAAGCCTAAACTGGATTACAGGCACAAACCTGTAATCCCAGCATTCCAAAATTTGAGGAAGGAGGATCATGAGTTCAAGATTAATATAGACTACAATATGTAATAACACCTGGCTTAAAAAGCAAAAATAAATTAATTAATTAAAACCATCATATTTTTGGTTTCACCTTTTTGTTTTGCTTTCCACTGACCAAACTATAATCACTTTCCAAAATTATCCTCCTTTATATTTCAATTTGTTTCTGTCCTATTCAAATCCAAGTGCTTGGCGGGGGGAGGAGGGGCATGTTGTTGTTTATGGTTTCCACTTGGTTCTCATCCCTTTTTTTCTTTTTGAGAAAATATCACAAAGACAATAGTTCTGAAAGCATTTGCCTTGTCATACTTTTTTTTTTTTCTTTTGTTTTTCGAGACAGGGTTTCTCTGTAGCTTTGGAGTGTGTCCTGAAACTAGCTCTTTCAGACCAAGCAGGCCTTGAACTCACAGAGATCTGCCTGCCTCTGCCTCCTGAGTGCAGGGATTAAAGGCATTTGCCACCATTGCCATTTAAAAATGTGTCTTATACATTTTTAAAAATCCAATTTGCAATACGGTGATCATGGAAAGTTGATAGAGGACAAATATCACCCCCTTTACAGGTGAAAAAGACTGAACTGTTGACGAACTGATGACAGGACCCCAGCACAGAGAGCAGAGCGACACCAGAGTCGCACCAGCTGGCTCCTGGACTGTATCACACCCACCTAACTACAAACCTCAATCATGATAAAGCAAAGACACTACACAAGAAAAAAGTCACACTTTCCTTCTAACTTACAAAATAAAATCAACTCCAAACTATAACAAGTTACAAATCCACATAGCCTCTTGATGAGGACAACCTGTTAAATGCAACTGTAATATAAAAGATCATTAAAATTTTCTAAGAAAAAAGAATGAAGTTAGACTTCACTTTATAACTAGCCATGAATTTAGGCTAGGATTTTGTCACAATTTAAAACTCTCTACAAGAATAACTTCCAAACAACCACTTTTAGAAGTATAAAGATGTGCTTACCAAAGAAGGGGGGGAGGGGTTGGACAGACGGACGGATGAACACACAAAGGTAGCAATACGAATAACTCTCCCTACTAATTTACACAGATTTTTTTTCTTAAACACAATAGTACATGACATGGTTTTCTGTGATCTATTACTGTATTACTCACCCAAGTGTCCCTTTTCCTGACATGGGGGGACTCGGGGGCTTCTGAGTAGGAGGTGTTGTACGTGGCAGCCCACCCATCTTCATACTCTGTGTGCTCACCTAACAAATGTTGAAGGAAACACCACTTAATTTCTATGCAGTAAAACAAAGTGGCATTTGGAAAATAAGAAGGGGAAGGTTAAATTAAAAAACAAAAACAAAAAAAACCCAAAAAACAAGAGGCCATGCACTTCATATGCAATTTCTACTCTACTATTCTGTAGTTGTACTCAAAGGACTCTTCCTAAAAGGATTTTCAAATTATTTAAAACGTGTATGTGAAGAATTTATTTGCCATTAGGTCATCACACCAACAGATCACTGGTTAGACTATTGGATATTACACTCAGCTATAATCACAAAATATAGTTCTAAAAACTTTAGTGGTAACAAAAAATAACTCAAGTGAAAACAATTTATTTTAAATTTAAATCAATTCTTCATTTGGGGGACTGTTTCCCTTATATAGCAAGTATATCATAAAGCATGTTTCTCAACTAAAAAATATGTAATATGCATATGTTCAGTTGTATGATGTACAAAGAAAAGTTCAGCTCTTTAAACTTGTGAAATACTCTCACAATTCAGGTTTAATGTTCTCCTTACAAGGAAAATACCTACCTGAACGCTGCTAGAAGTTCAAGGCAATGTTAGGGCTGAGGTAACCCATCACTGACAATATAAAAGCTACCATCATTGTGTGACTTCTAGTGGGAATTAAACCCACACAGGCCCAAAGTAGAGGTTAATTGCGGAATGAAACAGTGTAACATAGTCTCAAGTCAGAGATGGACCATGACTGCATTCATAATTCTATTCCCAACTGAAATTCCAAATACAGGAAAGATGGGCAACCTGGGAAAAATCACGCCATATGCCAGCACTCACAAAACCCTAAACATCCAGCTATCTTATAAGGAGTCAGGAAGGAATACAGTGCAATGCAACCTCACACTGTCTGAGACTACTAATAGATTAACAAAGTAAACTCACACATGTTCTCTTTAAGTCCCTATTATCTTGAATTGCTACCTTCAAAACACATTTAAGGAATCTCAAGTTCCTCATTATACTGTCTTCAGAATTAAATTTATACTTACAACATAAAAGGATAAAATATTATACCACTGAAGTTGGAAGAGACAACTTTAATTTTAAAATATATATTTATAAATAAATATTTTTATATAAAGATAAAATTTATAAATATATATATATATTTAAGTATACATATATATGGCAGATTCTCATTATGAAGCCCTAGCTAACCTATGGAGATCAGGCTGGCCTTGCATTCACAGAGATCAGCCTGTCTCTGCCTCCCAAGTGGTGGGATTAAGGATGTATACCACCAAATCTGACCAATTTTAAATTTTATGAAAATGAATCTTACTCATATCAGAGTACTGAGGCTGTCAAAATTAACTATGACTAGGGTAGATATTTTTAAGTTCTAAAATAATAATTATTACTTATCCAAATAAGCAAGAAATAATATATCGAGCAATAAATTCTTCAAATGAATAGCCCAGTGAACAAGTTGTGTGTGATGTTGAAACAGTATTTAATGACAAATGGTGCCTTTGAAATGTTATTATTTTAAAGTAAAGCATTAGCAGTAAATACGAATCATCAAACAAATGAATTACCCTGTCATCGCCTTCTTTAATAAGCAGAGGGTTGTGAATTTATCTTTAAAATGTCAGAAGACACTTCCAAAAAGTCAATTCACATTTAAAGAAAATTTTATAAGTAATCTGACAAATAACCTCTTTAACTTTTAAAAACAGCAAGTTTTAATTTAATACCACAAGATTTAAGTTGTAACTAAAGTCCTTTAAGCTCAACCTTAAACAACATAAAACCCAAAGTTACTATAAGTGATGAGGGAGAAGTGAACCAAACACTAAACTACAATTCAGTTTGCTAGAAACAGGAAGGAAAAGGAGCGAGAACAGAAAAAGAATAAAAGAGAATTTTATTCTATATATGGGATAGCTAAGATACTTGAAGATAACCTTCCAACTATAATTTGATTTTGGTTTCAATATGCAAGGTGCTTTTATTTAAATTGCAGTACCTTCTCTAAGTCTTCAAATCTACCCTAATAATAAAAGCAAAATAAAATTTTAGTTAAAATTTGGTGGGCATATATAAACAAAAAATGAATACATTTTATAATCTATAAAATCCTGAAATGATTGTTATTTGGTTAATGAGTTGGATGAGCGACAAATCACTTAAGAACCTAGGTCCCTGTAATGTCCAAACCACCATGTTTTATTCATCACTGACACTGTACTGCCATCTTATTAAGCTAAGTTTATCAGAATTTTCTCAAGGAAATTTTTCTCTGTGCTACATAAAACAAAAATAAGTATAGAGAATATGAATACAAAAAATTAATAGTAAGAATTGACAAAAACACTTTATTTCTTTATAAAGGCAAATTTAAAACTATAATTAAATATTCATATCTAAAATAATTTGTTCAAAAATTCTTTACTGAATAGGTATCATGATACTAAAAGAAGCTGAGGTATTTTAGAGAACATATTTCCTGACAATTAGCAAAACATCTGACTAAATTACCATGCTTGTTGTAGGAAACACGTCCAAGTGTGCTTGCGTGCATGTACAAACCATGTCAAAAAGAAAAACAAAACTGCATCCATTTTGTCATAGTACCTCCTCCTGAAATATGTGTGTGCATACACTGCTGCAACCAATTTATAACAGTAATTCCTCTTGACGTACACATAAATGCATGTGTGTATATTTGAGAGTGCATGTTTATATACACACATCTGCAGGCACATGCATACCACAGAGTACATGTAAAAGTCAGACAAGAACCTTTGGGTATAATCCTTACTGTTTTTCCACCTTGTCTAAAACAGGATCCCTTTGCTGCTGAGTTTACCAGCCTACCTGGTGAACAAACTTCTGGAGATCCTTGTGTCTCCATCGTGCATCTCCCTTGTATGGGATTACAGCTGTTTATGCTTTCATACTCTATTCATGTACACTTACTTGATGTTCACTCAGCAACAAAACAGCTAACAAAGTTACCTTACAAAATATGCTTCCATCATTAAGTGACAAATGACCACAGGTCCACTGCAAAGGGGGTTTCATCCAAGTCTGGCTTGATGAACTGCTGGGTTTAACTGGAGTTACAGAAGCATGAGAGAGGGGTTGCTTCCAGAGCATGACAACTTACAGGCAACTACGCCACCCTCCAGAACCTCCTCTAGAAGTTGTTAAGCACTTGTTTATTCTTGAGGAGGATAAGAACCTGGTGAGCAAACTCCAGGATCTACCCCTTGGGCTTTCTTCATCATTCCAAGAGAGGTGTAGTGAGTCTAATCTTGTAAGGTCTTATATGGATAACCGTAACTGCTGAGTCAGCGTGGCAATGGATATCTCCAGAGTTACACAATAGAATGTTTCATAGAGAAAACGGAGCTGACTTTAAACAAAGGGGTGGTGGAAAGAGGGAAGGGGAAAGTAAACAAGATCAGATTTGTAATTTTATCACCTGTCTGTAATTGTATCACTTGGAGATTGAGACAGAAGATAGTAGTTCAAGGCTAGCCAGCCCCAGTTACACAGTAAATTCAAAGTCAGTTTGGAATAACATGAGACCCTAACAAGAAAGGATCTGGAGATGGGGGATGTAGAATCAGTAGTTAAGTTCATACTTAGTATGCTCAAAGCCCTGGGTTTGGTCACCTGTCTTTTATTTTTTTTAAGAAAAATACATTTGAATACAGAGAGGAAAAAAAAGAGGGCTATGAACAATTTTATCTATATATATATATATATGGATTAGAGGAAGACGGAAAACAGGCAAAGTCCATACTTTCCTGTCTAGCATTATCCTTTGCTATAGTACCATGTAGTATAATTATTAACTATATTAGTGAAATCCTTAGAGATTCTAGTATGAAACGTTTTGGTTCAAAGAGGAAAAATATTGAGGCATCTTACTGGGATCTTTCTAGTATGCCTTCATGGAACCGATCTCTTACATGAAAACAGATATTCAAGGTGAAGAAAGAAACACAGCCCAACCTAGAGAAAAAGCATGGAAAGCGGCTTCCACAAGGCTAAGCATCAAGAGAAGAGATCGGCCTATTTCTGTGTCTTTCTTCAGGTACACTACTTCTGGGCACTGCTATCACTTTGTAGGTGAACAGACCAAAACCCAAAATTTGAATATTGCCTACTTTTTTTTAGTCTATTTCACTGTAATTTAGCCATTTGAAACAGAAGGAACCTCCCCACAATTTCACATCCCTAGGTTACCAACACGGGAACGCTTAGAGCCTGTTCTCCAGTGTAACTTTATTTTTCTCCTGTGAGATCTACCTGCCATGACCAGGCAAATTTTTATGGCCATGGTTAATTCTAGGTAGTACAGTCATCCTGTCTCTTGCTTATAACTAACTACACTCAAAATACGGCAAACTACAGAGTGACAACAAAAACATATTTGAAAAGAAATCACAAAATTTGGGTAATAAAAAAGTGCATGATAAATTTGATGAAAATCATTTTAGTGACACTGTATTTGATAGGCTTCTTGAGTATAGTTGAAATGCTTTCTCAAGGATCCTTCAAGACACTAAACTATAACACAAGTCACAACAGGAAACAACACTTTGCTTTGTTTGGGTGTGGATTGATTAATTGATTGATTGATTGATTGTTTGTTTGTTTGTTTTACTTTGGTTGGTTGGTTGGTTGGTTGGTTGGTTGGTTTGAGCCTTCTACTTGCTAGGCAAGTGTTCTAGCACTGAGAGATACCTTCCAAACCCTATCTCTAATTCTTAATTTGTATTTTTTAAACATTATCATGAACTTTGGATGTTGTGCATACAAATAATATTCACCTTTAAAAAGACTTGAGTTTATATTGAAATATATTTTATACAACCATTTTAAAGGACTTTTTGTAAAATGTACTGCAACTTAAAAAAAGCATATGATATATTTTTGCTTTATAATTTTTGTATTATACCATATAATTATATAATCAAGCCACCATTTATAGAATAAAAGGCTATTACACAGGGGAGGGTTAAATACAGCATATTAGTTGGTCCTCCAATCAGTAACAAAATTTCCACATTTATAAAGACCCAGATAATTTTATCTGATAATACTTTACTACAGAATAACATATTTCAATTTTATGAAAGTACCCATTTATTCAGAAAATACTTACTAATTACCTATTGTGTGTTCAGTACTGTTCTAGGCACAAAGAACAGGGCAATGAACAAAACAGACAATACCTACCCTCAGGGAACATGAACACAGACAACAAAGTTGCTACACCAAAATAAAAAGAACTAATTTGTTGGCTTTAAAAGGCCAAATGAAAAATATCTTTTTACTCCCCATATGTAATATTCTACATAAGAACACAGAATGGAAATACAGCCCTGGAATCTCTTACCTTAAATCTAAGCAACCACTTAATGCATTAATGGAGCAAATAAAAGAGGTAAGGAAAAAAGGCATTGAAAGGTTAGTTGGAACTTCAAGATGTGAAGACAAAAAAAAGAAAACAAAGAAAAACAAGTTAAGCAATCAGCATTAACAAAATAATGTTTCAGTAGGTCATAGAAAGAGTGGTTAAAGCAGAATGTGTCATGATCAGGAGTTTCATTGATGACAGTAACACACTATTTTATTCAAAACTTTTTCTTCAAATTAATGACCACTAAACACTAAAGTACAAACAACAGAGGCTATAATCCTAAAAGAAAAATATTTTATTTCACAGATTAAACAAGAATTACATGACAGAATCATCTTTTATTATATAAACAGCACTAATTTTATATTACAAGTACCTTCTGGCATCAGATTCTGGCAGCAGTCTACAACATTCTATTAAGCAGCTATTAGTCTTCAACCTTTCCCCAAGTTAAAGAAATTACAGTTTTAATTAACCATTTAGTTATATATCCTATTTTAATATGCTTTAATTAGCCATTAAAATAATGTATGAATCAACTATAAAATTAAATATCAAATTCCAGATAATTGTGCTTAACTCTGAATAAGCAGGGTGTGGAAGGACACACCTTTAATCCCAACACTCTGGAGGCAGAAGCAGGCTGATCACTGTGAGTTCAAGGCTAGACAGAGCTTAAACTGGGGGGCTGGCGGGGAAGAAAAGGAAAAAAAGAGAGAAATAGAGTGAAAGGAATGAAGAAAGAAAGGAAGGAAGAGAGGCTGGACGACAGTGACTCCTTTAATCCCAGCACTTGGAGGGCAGGGCAGGCAGATCTCTGAATTCAAGGCCAACCTGGTCTACACAGCAAGTTCCAGGACAGTCTCAAAAGCTACACAGAGAAACCCTGTCTCAAAAAAAAAAAAAAAAAAATTCAAAAAACAAAAAAACTGAAATAAAAGTTGTTAGATAAATTAAATTTATATTTTATGTGTATATTTTATGTATACAAAGATAAACATTAAATTTGAATTTACTGATTTCTGGCCAAAATGGTGGTATATGTTTTATACAAATAGATTTATATCAGAAAATAAAATATACATGAACTATACAGCTTCAAGATAGACATATGTGTATATTTATTTGAAGTCATACCTGTGTTTTTCTACTCACTACTGAAATATAAACTATAAATAATGTACTCAGCTGCAGCTCTAAATTGTTTCCAGGAAGTACACTTTTACCCAGCTGTGGTGTTAGGTGTCTTAAGTGCTAGTGCTAGAACACAGGCTTTGTGTATGAAAAGCTTATAATCTCCTGCTAGGCCACATCTCAATACGCCATAATTTTGATCATGGTACTTCATATACGTACTAGATACTCAATTATCTTTAAAAGATGGCCAAAATAAATAATGTTACAAATTTAAAAGCATTGGAAATAAACAATAATTTGTAATTTTTATCTACAATACTATTCCTATCCAAAAGGTTGAAGTAAAATTATCCTAGGAAAAAATAAAGCAAGCTCATGTTTAATAACATGCTGTTCTGAAAACTAATAGCAAAAGTATGCTGATAAATTTTTGATATAAGAAAAACATTTTAGTAATATGCTGGATGGTTTTTCTGCCATATTAAATCATTAAAAGAATAACACAACTATATCATACTTTATCTGACCTATGGAAGTTACCACCATAACTAAACAAATCTCATTGAAAGATGACTGTTTCTGAAAACACAACACTAGAAATCCTTAAGGACACAATAGTTAACAGTAGTAAGCAAAAAGCAATCTTCACAACTGTGTCAAGATTTGTTTCTTTAGGAAATCAAACAAACTTTAATTTTCTAGGGTTCCACTACAGACTGCTACTTTTGAAAGCTTGTAAAAACTACACCTACCTTTACCCCATGTCCAATGTCATCTAGAATTGTATAGTCAATAGGTTTTCGAATATAACGAACTGGTCGCTCAAGGTTAGCTGGTGCAATAATCTTATGGGTTCTTGAAGTATTTTTATTGGTAGTCAAAATACCAATTTCTCTTCTTGCAACTTTCTCTTTATGAATATCAACTGTCTGCAAAAGAAAAGATAATACAAAGACAGCTCTGGCATCCAATAAATAATAAGCACCTGGAGATTTAACATTCTTTCATATACATTTCATAAACTATCTTCTCTACAGACTACCGTCTTTATTCATTTTAACCTAATGCAAGGGTTGCCAAAGCATACCCTCAGGCCTAATCTGGGCAACCACCTGATTTTTATAGGCCACACGATAAAAGCAGAACGTAAAATGTGCATGTGTACAAGTGTGCAGGCTTGCAAACGCACACATATAGGCACTAAAGGGTGTATGATCTTGAAGGGTTGTATATGTGCATGCTTGTACAAGTGACCAGAAATCAACCCACTGAGAAACAGGTTTTGGTAATTTGTCTAAACTGGCTGGCCAACAAGTCCCAGGCATTATGTCTGTTTCTGCCTCCCTGCACTGCAATTACAAGTGCACATCACACTCATCTATTTATATAGGCTCACCTTAACCCTAGCACTTAGAAGGCAGAGGCAGGTGAATCTGAGTTTGAGTCCAGCCTGGTCTACAAAGAGAATACCAGGACAGACAGCACTACACAGAGGAACCCTGTCTCAAAAAAACAAAACAAAACACATGATCAAAGGCTAGAGTCAGGGATACAAATCTTCACTATGAGGCCCTGATTAATTCCCAGTATCCAACCCCCCCCACACAAAAAAAAATCAATTTGACAGAAAAGTTTGTTTGCTTCAGCAAGTTGTTTATAACGCAACGTTGAACAAATATTTCATTAATATTTATCAAGTGCTCACAGAAACATTATTTTGTACAAATGATATATACTTTTACATATAGTCTTGTATTATTTGCTAACAAAGAATAAAATTCTCAGGAAATTTAAACATTAATGTAGCATTTTACATAAGAAGCTGTGATTCTGTAATCTATAAGCAACAAGTATTTTAATGTAGTAAGAATGTGCTGGAAGTGGTGGCACAAGCCTTGAATTCAGGACTGGAAGAGGCAGGTAGATCTCTAAACTGGAAGCCAGCCTGGTCTACAAAAAGTTCCAGGACAGGCCTTGGCGCACGCCTTTAATCCCAAAACTCAGGAGGCAGAGGCAGGCGGATCTCTGTGAGTTCGAGGCCAGCATGGTCTACAAGAGCTAGTTCCAGGACAGGAACCAAAAAGCTATGGAGAAACCCTGTCTCGAAAATCCCAAAAAAAAAAAAAAAAAAAAAAAAAAAGTTCCAGGACAGCCAAGGCTGTTACAAAGAGAAACCCTGTCTCAAAAAAACAAAAAGAATGTAAGTACCGTTTACTGTTCCTTTAATCATATTTGCTATTATGTGTGATGGGTAGACACAAATACAACACTTCCCACTCTGAAAACAAGCAAAACTGTCTAACGTTGCCAAACATCTTATGAGAGTAAACCTGCACACATCAAAAACCAAAGGTCTAGAACTTCTGATTCAAACAATTGTGACTACCTATGCTGGCTGGATTTTTCTTCAACTTGATGAAAGCTAAAGTCAACCGAGAGAAGGTAACCCCAATTGAGAAAGTCTTTAGGACATTTTCTTAATTAATGATTGATGTAGGAAAGCCCAGTCTATTGTGGGTGGTGCCATGCCTGGATTGGTAGTCCTGGGTACAATGATCACTGAGGTTTTCAGCAGTCACCTACTAAGCCTATAATCCCGGCACTTAGGTTGGAGACAAGAAGATCAAAAGTTCAAGGTCAGCCTTCACTATATACTGATATCAAAACCAACTCCATTATATAAGACGCTACCCTTATTTTTATAAGCCCTAAAATGCAACAAACAGCAACAAAAGTAATAACACCAACCCATACTTATCATCTAACCTTAACGGCTATCAACTTAAAAGGTTTTTAGGGGCTGGAGAGGTGGCTCAGCAGTAAAGAACACTGCCTATTCTTCAAGAAGACCTGTGATTAATTCCCAGAACCCACCTGGCAGCTCACAACGGTCTATAAATCCAGTTTCAGGAGACTAGATATAATCTTCAGGCCTCTTGGGGACCAAGCTTGCACAAGGTATATAAACATACATGCAGACAAAGCATCCATATACATAACACAAAGTTTGAATTTAAAAATGTTTTAAAGGATATTTAGTGAAGTGTTTTCCTGAAATGGAAACATGCTTTCCTGAGATCAAGCAACAAGCTCTCAGTTACCACTTTTGTCTTCTTAATACAACTCTGAACCTTTGGAGGCACAGGTTCCATAGTAATGTTTACAAAGAAACTGTTTGTAGTTGAAAACATAAAAACTTTACCCTAGAATTCTAAAGTTAACAATTTTACTAAAATAAATTTAGAAAAGGTCTCAGTAAGAGCACTAACCTGTGGCAAGTACATGTTCAGCCAGTGAGCAAAACCAATGCAGTACAGAGCTCTTAAGAGTACGACTACTGCTACAGATGCTGTGGACTATCACCACAACTGGGGAGGACTTAAATATCTATTCTCTCACAGATGCTTACTAATTAGTTTTTCCAGTTTCCATTACTGCTAAGTTGGTGTTGCATGCTGCTGGTGTCCCCACCGAATACATCAACACACTACCAAAACTAGCTTCCCTTTGCTTTAAAGTAACCATTCTGACTCCTAAAGCTCCTTTATCCTGAGTCCCAGCCCCACATCTCCTTCCTGAATCCAAGTAACATGCTCGGAACCCAGCTCTGATAGGAAGGCACTATATAAAATATTTTGGTTTAGTCAGGCACATAATTAAAAATAAAATGAAGCCAGGCAGTGGTGGCATGCACCTTTAATCCCAGTATTTGAGAAACAGAGACAGGCAGATCTCTGTGAGTTCCGAGGCCAGCCTGATCTACAGTGTGAGTTTCATGATAGCCATAGGTATTACAAAAAAAAAAAGTCTCAAAAAATTACTTTTATCCACATATTGTTGTTTTCTACTATCACTAATGATTTAGAATAAACCCTTAATGAATAGCTATCTCAGCTGCCCATCAGTATAGGAAAATAGCTGCCCATCAGTTACAGTTGATTAGCTAAATTTAGTGTTTTTTAAAATATATTTCGGTCAATCAGACAGAAACCTAACAGAGAAATAAGAGAATTAATGGAGGTAATGAATCAAATGGACTTAACAGACATTTATAGAAAATTCCACCCAAATAGGAAAGAATATACCTTCTTCTCTGCAGCTCATGGAACCTTCTCAAAAATTGACCACATACTTGGTAACAAAGCAAACTTCCACAGTTACAAAAAAATATTCGTAACCTCATGTGTCTTATCAGATCACCATGGATAAAAGTTAGAATTCAACAACAATGCTACCCCCAGAAAGCCTACAAACTCATGGAAACTGAACAGTCAACTACTGAACCACACCTGGATCAAGGAAGAAATAAAGAATGAAATTAAAGTCTTCCTTGAATTCAATGAAAATAAAGAAACAACATACTCAAACTTATGGGACACTATGAAAGCAGTCCTAAGAGGAAAGTTCATAGTACTAAGTGCCCACTTAAAGAAAAAAGAAAAAGCACACAATGGAGACTTAACAGCCCACCTGAAAGCTCTAGAAAAAAAAGAAGCAGACTCACCTAGGAGGAGTAGAAGACTGGAAATAATCAAACTGAGGGCAGAAATCAACAAAATAGAAACACAGAAAACAACCCAAAGAATCAATGAAACAAAAAGCTGGTTCCTGGAGAAAATCAACAAGATTGATGAACCCCTATCCAAACTAATCAAACGGCAGAGAGAGAATATGCAAATTAATAGGATCAGAAATGAAAAGGGGGACATAACCACAGACACAGAGGAAATTCAGAGAATCATTAGCTCTTACTACAAAAGCCTGTATGCCACAAAACTGGAAAATGTAAAAGAAATGGACAGTTTTTTAGATAAATACCATATACCAAAGTTACCAGGACCAGGTCAACGACCGAAATAGACCTGTTAGTTGCGAAGAATTAGAAGCTGTTATCAAAAACCTCCCTACCAAAAAAAGCCCAGGACCAGATGGTTTCAATGTGGAATTCTACCAGAACTTCCAAGAAGACCTAATACCTATACTCCTTAATGTATTTCACAATATAGAAACAGACAAGTCATTGCCAAATTCCTTTTATGAAGCTACAGTCACTCTGATACCAAAACCTCACAAAGACTCAATCAAGAAAGTGAATTACAGGACAATTTCACTCATGAATATCGACGCAAAAATCCTCAACAAAATACTGGCAAACCGTATCCAAGAACACATTAGAAAAATTATCCATTATGATCAAGTAGGCTTCATCCCAGAGATGCAGGGCTGGTTCAACATACAAAAATCTATCAATGTAATCCATCATATAAATAAACTGAAAGAAAAAAACCATATGATCATTTCATTAGATGCTGAAAAAGCATTTGACAAAATTCAACATCCCTTTATGATAAAAGTATAGGAGAGATAAGGGATACAAGGGTCATACCTAAATATAATAAAAGCTATATACAGCAAGCCGACAGCTAACATCAAATTAAACGGAGAGAAACTCAAAGCCATCCCACTTAACTCAGGAACACGACAAGGATGTCCACTCTCGCCATACCTCTTCAATATAGTGCTTGAAGTTCTAGCAATAGCAATAAGACAACATAATGGGATCAAGGGGATTCGAATTGGAAAGGAAGAAGTTAAACTTTCGTTATTTGCAGATGATATGATAGTGTACATAAGCGACTCCCAAAACTCCACCAAAGAACTTTTACAGCTGATAAACAGCTTTAGTAATGTGGCAGGATACAAGATCAACTCCAAAAAATCAGTCGCCCTCTTATACACAAAGGATATGGAAGCAGAGAGGGAAATCAGAGAAGCTTCACCATTCACGATAGCCACAAACAGCATAAAATATCTTGGGGTAACTCTAACCAAGGAAGTGAAAGATCTATTTGACAAGAACTTTAAGGCATTGAAGAAAGAAATTGAAGAGGATACCAGAAAATGGAAGGACCTCCCTTGCTCTTGGATT